ATCAATTTTTATAAATTCATATGATGTGATTTTCTGGAATTTTCTTTTGGATTCTGTCTTTCACTGTTAGAATGTACATATGATTAAAGTTAATGGAAAAGGCAGGAAACGAAACGCGGGTCGTACAGAAACATGACGAAATATGTACATCAGCTTTTGTGGTGGTAATCGAAAATCTTTAGGTCAATAATTATTTTCCTTCCACCTCTAATTTCTTGACAAATTCATTCCAATGAAGGAAGGAATTTCAAGCAGTTTTCCAGGCTTCATTGGTGTTTTCTTCACTCTTTTTTTTCAGTCGAGTTTGTGTTGGTCTTATTTGCCAAGTCACTCCACACCAACCAGTGAATGTTCAAAATCTCCCCAAAACACTTTCCGATCATGTGCTGACAATTGTTTTTTTTTGTTTTTTTGCATCTATTAAAAGTATGATAATTTGACAAACATTAAATTGTTATTTTGGTTTGACAAAGTGATTCCAAGACGTCCACTGGCATGTATATCCTGGCAACATATAAAGATAAAATTGACATTGTTTTAAGCAGGAAAACCAACATGATGCTTTCAGGTGCTGAGTTAGCTGTAACCAGCTGTCCTGTAATGGTAATTAACCCACTATATCAGGACATTATCAGCAACCTAAGTGCACACAACAAAACTAATGTAAATAAATACACTATTCTCTGAGTGCTTCACACCTGATGGGATATTATGATCACATACCCTGAAACAGACTAAAGGAGGCTTTCATGTTAGCTTTTAACACTCCTGAACATACAAACTAACAGGATATAAAGCTTTTAACTACATAGAGGAAATGTCAACATGATTTTGATAATGTCTGAAGGCTTCACACCTTTTTCCTTCAGCTCCAACAGTTCATCTTAAACCCACGAGGTCGCTTTGATAGCAGCACCAATTCACTGCTGGCTGTCGGGAACCGGTTTGAAATGCTCTACATGGACAAATGCACACCCAGGCAATGGTTAATGTTAACTTTATTTAAAAACCAAATATTGGGGTGGAGGCCTTCAAATCTAGTGTTGTGAACATACAAAATTAACAACTGATGAAAAATATGGTCAAAGTCAAACAAAAAAAAAAAACATGGCAGTATAATTTAAGTAACATTTCCTTAATCACAATAATCCTAGTTTTAGTCAGTGTCGTTATAAACTGAAAAATTGCAATAATCAATGCAAAGTCACATAAAGAGTTTGATGGGGCAGACTTAGTTGGCATGGTGTGTGGTGGAGAAACACAGTTTCAGTGTGTAAGGGTAAGGCCCACCTACAAGACACAAAAAAGGAGAATTTAAAGATGACGGTAAGAAACAGTAAAAGGTTCTAATGTGCCATGTAAAGCGGCTCCGAGAGGCCAGCGTTCAACAACACAAAGACTCAAAACTTACTGGGGTTTTTCATCTGATAATGGTTCATCATAGCTAGGGCCTCCATGGCATCATTGATGGATTCCCACTCCAGCAGCCCAGATGAACTTCGCTCACCTGTTCACCCACACACGAGACAGCATGTTTTAAGAGGGGAGGCTTAGTGGGGTTTAACCACTAATGAATCGCTTTCAGAATGTTTTGTCTATTAAAAAAAAAAACTTTTGAATCAAAGGGCTCCTGGAACTGTGAGGGCCGTGAGGTTTTAATCTAAATCAAAAGATGCAGGTGAGCTTTTGGCTCATAAGGCCAGCCTGCATGTGGCGGCCGGTGGAATAGGATCAGATTTCCCCGTCCTTCATGCCTGATCAACTAATCTCCATAATTAGTTTTCAATGCCAGAATCAACAGATAGAAAATAGTATCAGCACTTGATGACTAAAAACATTTTACTCACTTTTTCCAGTAAAGAGCTTCACACTTGCAGGACTCTTAATTCCCAGCTCATCGCAGACCTGAAAGGACACACACAGCTTTCAGAAGACAGCAGCTTGTGCTCGGTTCATCGAGCCCTGGCTGCTCTGCTTGCCTGGTTGAAGATCTCTTCAGAGATGTCGGGCTGGGCGTTGAAGAAATGCAGGACGTTACTGGGGTGCTGGATTCTGTTTTTGGCGGCCTGCTCCGGGGAGGTGAAGCGGTTGTTGCGGGACCCGTGGAAGTCCTTGAAGCTGCTGGTGTTGTCCTCTAGCTGGTAGCACTGTCCGGGCACGATGGCCTGCTGCTTGGACACGCTGCACGGAAAAACACCACAGCTGGTTCAGCTGAACACTCAGATGAAGACCCGGGCTCCATCAAACAGTCAACGCTTCTGCAGTCTGAAGAGTTCAAAGTGTTCATTTTACCAAACATTTAGCTTCTGTCCAAAAAGGAAGTTGTTGTTGAGGTGAGTAATGGCCCTGTCCACAGAGTAACAGTCACCCATTTCCACCATGGCGGCTCCTGGTTTACTTTTCATGAATTTGACCTGAAACAAACAAAATAACAAGAACAAATAAAGAAAACTTTTAACTAATTTCTTCTGCCAAAATTAGAAAACAACAAAGTGTGTCTTGATTGTTCTGCTGGTTTCCATAACACTGAGATGCACATCGATGAATGAGAGATGAATTCACTTTTATTTATATAGTGCCAACGTCAGTGAAAAACGGCTTCTACTCATTTTTGATGCATTGTCCTACTCACCCTCTCCACGTTGCCATAGAGACAAAAGATGTTGAAGACCTTGTCAGCATTGATCTTCGACGGCTCCAGGCCGTACACCATAAGAACTGGGGAGTCAGCGTGAGGGCCGTACTCGGGGGGCGGCGGCCCATATCCAGCTCCATACCGCTGGCTGCCCCGGCCCCGCCCACCCATGCCAGGTCCCATCCGATGAGGTGGAGGGGGGCCATAAGCGTCGTCATTATAGCCGTGATAACCTCCCTGTGGACCCCCTGATTAAAAGGGAAGAGAAGCCATGTTGATGGTAAGCTCCTGGAAGGGACGCGTCCTGCTCCTGTGGCAGGAGGAAGCGTTTACCGTAATCTGGGGGGTGGTCCCCTAGAAGAGCCGGCTGCCTCTGGCGTTTGTTGGGGTTGGCATTGGGATCTGAAAATTGTAAAGGCAAAGTCACCCATTAAAGCTGGCTTTCACCCACATGTATCATACATGTGCCTCACATGGGGCACCACATGCTTAGGGGAAAGTTTGTGAATTACATGCAACAGAGGGGGCCCGACCTCTTTGATCTAAGAGTGTTTAAAGGTCTGCAGACTTTTATTCTGGCTAATCTAATCCATGACATAATGGAGATTTCTTTTGAAGTGATTTTAGCTGTCAAAGCACTGAAAAAAAAGCACTTATATCTGCTATCCTAGCACGAACACACACACACCTTGTGAATTGTTCCAATTGCCTTCACCATCAGCATCTGTGCAAGTACACATATACACACGTCAAATCCAAATTAACAGTGAAAATGAATCACACTGGCAACACTGAGTGAACACGTGTCTAAACATCCTGAGCATTTCCCCGTTCAGAATACATTCATGAAGATCAGAGAGTGAAATGTGCATCGATGAAAGGAAGAACATCTGCCATTTTATTGAAAACTATGAGAACATTTGTTACAAATCAGGATATTGACAGAGGAATAACACATCAGGAGTGAAAGACAAAGCACTGGGAGTTATTACATGGTGGAGATGAAATAAGAAACCAGACCTGTAGGCCGGCTTGACTTTGCAAAGTAATTTATAATTTTTTTTACCTAAGACTGGTTGTAAGAAGATTTCCTCCACTTTTAACAAAATGTAGGATGCATGTGAGCCCACCTGCTCTGTGGGGATCTCTAACAGGTGTGTGGGCTGTAAAATGTTCCCAAAAACATGTGAAAGAAATTAAAAACTGAAAGTTTAAAGCTCCATTCTGAATCTGAACCAATTGTGATTGAGATTAAAGGACAGCCGACGTAAAATTGTTTTCAAGAAAATTTCAAGGCATCAGATTATAAAAGAGAACGGAAATAAATTTGCATGATTACAGAATACTTGCATTTCCTCAAATCAACTTATTCTTTGAGATTGCAAGGTCATAATTGCCAAAATGACCTTAAGGCTTTAAGGAGGTAAACTGATCAGCCCGAGAAAGCGCCAATTCAGCCCCAATTTCCCCAGTCAACACATAGAAGTGCTCTTTGACAAGAAACTAAAACCCTTACGAATGTGTTCCGCTCTTGTTGGAAAAAAGTGTCTGGTAAATTAAGGCAATGTTATAACCACAGTATTAATCAGTAGTGTCAATGACCGATCCCACTTTTTATTGCATATTAACAGATTGGACATCTGTTAGGTGGAACGAATTACCATTCAGGGTACAGTAAGCTTATGCGTCACATGAGAAAAATCAGCTGAGTGAAAAATATGTTGTATGCAGGGATATGCGAGCACTGGAATCAGTAATGAATGGCTCTGAGGCAAGTGTGGCCTTTTACAGCAAAGGAACTGGTGGCTTGTCTTTAATTGCTATCTGCCAGCTGACTGTTTTCCTAAAGACATAAACACCAAAAGGCAAACGGGGATGACTGGGAGCAGTCGCCAGATGGGGGCCACAGTTACAAGCATTGTTCAATCAGTAGGCCTGGAAAATACATGCACTCTAAAAATAAACTATTTTAATTCAACACAGTGAGCATAAGCTAAAAGTCCCATTGGGTCCTGCCTAAAGCAAACAAAACTTCTGACAATGTCACAATGTGTCATCAGTGTAAACTTAAGCAGCAGTACAAAGCGAAATGAATAGCAGCTGCAAAACAAAAAGTCACAGTTGTAAAAGAAAGTCTTATCTGAGTGCATTTTGTTAAGCTCTCACTTCACTTAAATGAGGGTTTAAATCTGGGGGCAACAGCCAATTGGCTCCTAATTCACATTCACTTTGAAATGTTCACCATCATGTCAGATCATTCATTCAGTACTTACAGCACCATACATGAAGCATGGGACACAGTGGGCAGGTAGGGGGCAGTCTTCAGCAAGGATGCTACCCGCCAACCTCTGCCTCCAGCCTCAACTCATTCTCCCTCCTCAGTGTTTTGTTTCTTCGTTCCTCCCTTGTATCCCCACCACCGGAGAGAAAAGTACATCCACAAGTCCATTGTTGGTTTTAGCTTCGTGCCACTCGGTTCTGAAAGTTGCTATTAGAGGCTCGTTTCCGTCTTACCGTGCTCTGACCACAAAGCAGGGCATATGCACCATTTGAGAGTGGGTTGTCAGTCCACAGACACACTGAGCCAAACCTGCATCACACGGGAGGCGTTAAAGGCATCACTATGGGCCAGTGCAAAAAAAGGGAAAAATGAAACAACGCAGAAACAACACAAGAACAGCACAGAGAGAAGGAGGGGAAATGGGAAAGAAGGTACAGGGGAGAAACAGAACACCAGTCCATAACGGCAGAAAGCTTTGGGAAAGGATCTGTAATCTGTTTGCCTCTGTGCTTGTATGCTTGACAGGTGTCTGATGGTTGTGTCTTCACAGGCCCCCCTGTGGGTATTTCTTCTCGTGTAAAAATGGGTGCTCACATGATGCTTGTCTGTTTGGTTTAATAGATGTCAGTCACTCGCAAAGTGAGAAAGCAGCTAGCGCTCGCCAATAAGTCATCTGGAATATCTGCGTGACGACTCAGCTGTGTGTGGCCTCGGGTATTCAGCTCGCTGTGTTGTCATGTGTTCAGCTCAGGAAGGTGGAGACGAGGAGTATTAGCGTCTGACAGCAAGTATGGCCTCTCTTTTTTTGTTTACTGCCCCAGTATGTGGTGTCATCTGTTCCCTGGTCAGGCTGAGTGTGTCTGAAATCTCCTCTGCTGCTCCCTGTGGTAGTGTTATGGCAGGCACATCCCAAGAGCAAGGAGGTGCGACTTAGACCACACACTTGACTCCCGCCCTCATCATCAATGTGTTGTGTCAGAGTGGTGACTCCTCAGGACTCTGCAGATGAGATGTGCGGTACTGACAGAGAGGTTGCCGTAGATGCTTATCAACCTAGCAACGTCAGCTTGTGGTGGATACGCGAGGTGTCTGTTCGCATGACTTTGGAGAATTTCTGTCCCTCTAAACTGAAAAAGTGGCACCTTTCTGCCACCGAAAAGTAAAGTGATTCCCACGTCAGTTGGTGAAGATATGGGTGATGAGGAACTTGGGATAAGGAAGTGCCAAGTTGAGGTTTTGTTCCAGTATTTGGTGCCCGCCTGTGTCCGATGTGTGCCACAGAAATTACACGAGTTGAAGAAGCGGTTGCCGTTATACTGCAACTGTAAAGACTGCTGTGTTCGCTTAGAGGCTGAAGTAGACCCCAGTTAGACATGAGTATGACAGTAAGGACAAAAGGAGTAACTCTGAGCTGTAAGGCAACACAAGCTACAAAATGCCATCAAAACTAAGAGGACATTATATGAACACCTGTATGGAAGTCCTAGCTGTGTACAAGGAAAAAAAAAACACCTTCCTGAAGGATGTGGATTTTTTTTTTTTTTTTAATTAAACAAATAAAAAAAAACGAAATTAAAAGATTCAAAAGCTACATAAAAGGGAAAATCATGTGTCTGATTTAATGTCTGAAATGGAAGAATGTATCCTCCATCAAGCACCCAGTGCAGCAAAGCCGCAAGGCCGACGGAGGAGTTTATTATGTTAAAATATTCAACATATGTAAAAATATGCTAAATATTTTGACGGATTTTATCACGTCAGGAGTTTTTGAGCAGAATCTGTTGCTACACAGCAAGTGATAATAATGCTGTAACCCCTGCTTAAAAGCAGTTTTCAAACATTACATCTTGCACAAATTGATGAATGAATATAAAAAATTCCAATTGGTAAACACTATAAACACTGATTTTAAACTGGTAGAGGATAACATCAAGTGTATTTGTATCTTACTGTAGGTTTTACTTTAAAGGTCCAATGAAATGCAGCACTTTGGGTACAAGATCTGAGTTTAGCATTTAATGACTACCAACAATAAGGACATGCATGCGAAAACTGTTTATCCAAAAAAGAAAAAATCTATCATGTTCGAGGTGCCATCCAGTTTTTTAATGCGTTACGTTTTTTTAAAAAAACAATAAAAAAACACACTTTCTAAAATAAGATGATCACAATTTTTCCTGGGATCCCAAGCAGAGATTCTCTGGATGGCTTTTCTCCCTAATTTTTATACACTCTTAGCTGAAAAGTAGCAAATATAATCAGGTTGTTTGTCTGTGTAGCCTTAACATCCTCTGCTGGATTTAAAGGGAAACTACTAATTTAATTATTCTGCTAGCATCCACATGTTTAAAGGTAAACCATGTGTTGTTAAGACCAACCCACACACAGTGATGCACGAGTATTCAGACCAGTACCAACCACCCTGAGATCTCAGGTATCATTTCATAGGACCTTTAACTAAAGGTGTGCATTGTAGCCAAACAAGATAACTGGGCTAAGTAGTACAATGTCCAATTGAAGCTACCATCAAATCTCCACTATGTTTGACAGATAACTACCAGAAGTGATGCACTCTGTTCCGCTACCTGGATCAGAGAAGCTAAGAATGTGAAAGTGTGCAGCTGTGACATGCTTCATAGGGAATGTGACCCTGTGTGAAGAATGGTGCGTTTGCCCATTTTACTGTGATGGGTGCTCTGTATTTATCACATGCATGAGCCTGTAGGTGAGGCTGCCCACATAGTTGGTCTCCTCATGCCCTTACTTTGCGCCTGCTGTGTGGTGAGAAAAGCGCTGTGACGGCACCAGAGGAATATTACCATTGAGCAGAGTTGAAACCGTTCATCCATGCTCAAAGGTAATATCCCGAAAGGTAAAGAACCCTAACCATCCCGTGTGGCGGCATGACAGGAAAAGAAGAAGAAAATGGAGAGGGACAGTTTGGGGGCTGTGTGTTACCTTGGCCACTCAGGTTGGGGTTTGTGTAGTCCCACGTGTCCTGGTCGTTCTTGAAAACATTAAGGCGTGCTGGCTGTGGACGGATTGAATTGGAAAAATATTGACTTAATTTACTATAACAAACACCTGGTGTTGCTTTAACTGCATCATGGTAAACTCACCTTTGCATATTCAATCTTTAGAGTGCAACAGCCAGAATAAATGTCTGCTCCATTCAGAGAGGCTTTTGCCCTCTGGGCGCTCTGGACCGAATCAAATGTGGCCAAAATGGGTTAAGGAGAGGTCTGAAGGTGTTAAAATATCTGAGGGCTCAAATTACATCTGAGTTAGCAAGTTAAATGAAAAAGACTGAAAAGGATATTCGACCATGGCCTGGACACCGTTCTTTCTGAAGATAACGATCCTCTGCACTGGACCACAGTTGTTACAAATGGTGTAAAGCACATCCTGGAAGCACATAGACATGTTCTATAACACTTTGTTTCTCTCTCGTCTGCATAATCGAATGATCATTCATAATCTTTATGTACTCTGTGGGAAACACATTATTCTGAAGCTAAATGGAGACTCAGAACCAGTTAAAGACGATGTTATCAGCCTTTACCAATTCAATACAGAGACTTACCACTATATATTTATAGATATTAAAATTTGAAATAAAACAGGGTGGCAAGATTTGAACTTAAAAGTATGTCTGTTGTTTTTATGTGTATGAAAAGCTTCTCATCAAATGAATTTTCATTACCAACAGACTCAAGAGCAGTCAGAACTTAGTTTCTGGGCCACTGTTTTTCTCAGTTGGTTTTGCCAAAGAATCAAAACACCAGAATTACTTGACTCACGTAAATTTCAGTGATAAGTGTAATTCTTTTCAGAATTAAAAATACAGATATATACAGTTAAAATAAATCTGTAGGCATATTTAACCTCCACATTGAAACGTCAAAACATATTTGCATTAATCTTGACGTAGGCCAAAAGTAAGAATGAAGTAGTGGTTTACTGTTCCAACATGTGGGCCATCATGAATCAAAGGACCTAACAAATGAAGGGCAGGGAAGAAAGCACACAAACTACTTTGGGGAAATATTGGCAGTTTTTTAGCGATTATGGACTGAAAAAAACTAATTCACTTGACAATTAACCTACGTGGATCATACGTAAAGTCTGTGAGTGAAGTCTGAATATGAATACGTATGCACGTTACCGTGGTGATCGGATAGATGGGGTTTATGATTGTGAGCAGAAGCACATTGTTGACGCTCCGGGTGTCGTCCGAGTCTCCAGGCCGGGATATCTTTTGACTAGTTGAGTAATTGATGAAGGCGGGATGGCCTGCGATGTAAACCTGGTTCTCGGCTGCGTAGGTGACAGCATTGCAGGACCCATTCATGTCCTCGTACTCTACCAGGGCCTGGCGCTTCTTGGGCATCATGACAACATAACTGAAAAGGCATCATTCCAAATAATTAGCACTCAAACCTGCAGCTGTGCAAGCTATGGTGAAATTCATAATTAAAGAATGGTTGTGGATCAAACTGAAACACTGTGGTTAGGACACACATGGTGACAGGATGCATCAGGAAACCTGCTCAGAGATTGATGCAGCATTTTGAAATACAGCAACAACTCATCCAAACAGTTTAGGATATCCTATACGGGCCCTTTCTTTCATATAATACAACATTAAAAAATAATCAAACCATTTCCAAGTTGACTTTCCGGTCTACTTTATTTCTAAAGTGCATAAACCATTCATTATCTCTAGTCTCAACGTGTATTCATGCTACACTGGAGCCAAGACATCTGACACAGACAGATGATAGAAAGCAGGAAAAACCTTTCTAAAAGAAGACGTCACAACTAATCATGCACTTAAAATGAATGTTGAGAATGTTTAAGCTATTTTAGTACACACTATTATACCAACGATGGCATAAGTTCAAAGTCACACTGAACAAAACAATACGTTACAGTTTTTGGGAGACAGGGCACTATGTTTTATATGCTACCCATGGAGCCTCAAAGTGATATTCACATAAAAATATCGCGGAAATTTAAACATGAGGCAACACAAATAAGATGGAAAACAGTAATGGAGGCTCCGTTGTTACCTTATGGCCCCAAATTCCTGCAGGGCTTCCACCAAGTCAGCCTCCATGACACCGTCCACCAAACCCCTGATGTGCACCACCGGGGAAGGCAGAGGTTTATGGGGGTCATCGTATGTCTCCTGAACCAGAGAAACACCACATGCACGGTCATGAAATGATGCTTTAAAATAATTTCTCTTTGAAAAATGTTATGAAATAAACTCAAGTACAAGTGAATGAGACGTTTTCTGTGCGGGCTGTTAAAAGACAAACTGTTGTATAAACATTCCACAATGGCCAAGAAAATAAAATACTATGTGTCCTACTTTGCACAGAATTAAGTAATGTGATGCTAAACGGCTGGTTGCAAATTATTTAGCTACAATACGTTACCAAGTAAAACAAACCCAGCCAGCTAACATTAGTTAGCCTCTTCGTTTTAGCTAGCTGGAATATATACCATGTTTTTACACAAAGTTCTCTCTCGGCCCAACAAAAACTAGCATATTTCAATGTATTACTACAATTTCTTCGAAGCCGGGAAGGAAACCCTCACCGTTGTCATTCCTCCGTCTTCGGTTTTCTGTCTTTTCGTTGCTCTGCCGCCTTCTCCGTAGTATCGGCCCGCAGCAGCAGCCATGTTGTCCTGTCCCCTTTGCCGGCCCGTTGCTGCGTTCCGGTTGCGTGGGGGAAATTACTAGATGCGTTGTCCGTTGCTGCATGTCTTTAATACCTCTTTGCTTAAAAAGTCCAATTACTTCTTAACATAAACTGAAAATGTAAGCAATCGCATAGTTGATACTGATTTTGTTCCTGCAGGTAGATAAATATAAATCAAATCCTACCTACCGAGTATTATCAATTTTACTATTTAGGCAGTGAACGCACCAGGAAAGCGTCCTGTAAATGTGCGATTATGGTCACTTAACTCTATCAGTTATATCAGCAAAGCATTCAAACTGAACGAAATGCCGCACATTTTGCATGCATTTTTTAAATTTACTCTCCTCAAAAAGTGCGTTTGTATTCATGTTACAAATAATAGATTGGACAGATGTTACCGCTGAAATAGGATCTTAGATATAAAAACTAAAGTACATTAGAGGGGTTTTAGAATAAAAGAAAACCCCAAAAACTATTTTGTATCTATTTTGTATAGATAATTTCTAAGAAAAGCTAATTTCTTTTAAGATTTAAACTCATATGACGCATATATTGATTGAAATATATTGCATTCATGTAAGCTGAGAAAATATGATTCCATATGTAATATTAACAGTTAGGGTATCATAATGAATTCAAGTTTACACAATGTCCAAATAAAGTCATGAAATGTATTATGAAAGGATAAAATAGTCTGAGCTGACAGCAGCTTTCAATGGTAGCTAGAAATGGCCAATCTTAGCTTCAGTTTTTAACTAAAGAGGAGCCTGAGGATTTAAAGACGGATACACATTAGTACAGGTGCACCTTCTAACTTTGGTCCGCAGAGATTTTCTCAGGACCGGAGAAACTTTGCAATACAAGGCTCATGTCTCTATTTCTATTAAATAATTTCCCCCCTTTTTTTCAGCCTTGCAAATGACAGAAAGGGGAAATACCCCCCTATAATCCTGGATCATTTTATTTTTAATTATTTTCTTTGTGTGAAAGAGAAGTAGCAAAGGTCATTTTCTAGACAGAGCAGATCAAAGTGGAGATGTTTGGTCAGAATGCACAGAAATTGAACATCTCATAGCAGCACGGTGGAGGAGGGATGACGATATGGGCTGGACATCTTGCAGTCACTGAGTCCACCCATGAACCCTTTACACTCCACATTTTGTTTTAAATTTGGTCAAACAAATCATCAGAACACAGAATGTTTAAGATGGTATTGCTATTTTAAAACCTGTTAAGGGCCACATTATTTGAAATCATTCCCATTTTAAATTAAACCAAATGATCAGACAGTGTTAATGAGGGATCCAATAGAGTCAATGTCACTTAAAATTTCAATGTAATGATAACAATGCAATTACAATAAATTACAAAGCACTTTTGTCCATATGAGCTCAAAAACATTAAATTAGAAAGACAATTACACCACTGATAAATAGACAGATTACACTTCAGGGGTGAATAAATCATCTTTTTAAGCAGAAAATGGCAGATATTCTTACAGGAAATTAATTATCTTATAAGTCAATGTCGTATCTATGTGGTGCATTAATGGCAGGATCAGACTGTGTGTTATGCTAAATGTTGTCCTGTTTCTGGAAGTCTAACAGTGTGAGACGTTTCACAACAGCAGCTTATCTCTCTATAGGCAGATTGAAATCAAGCTGCGTTCAGTTAACAGCTAAAAGCCGGGGCTTCTGATTGGCCGACAGTAGTCAATTCAAAACTAATTCATGCTTAGTGGCTGCAAATTTACTCTCATAAATTCAGCATATTTTTCCCTCGAGCTTGTTAAAATAGAAGCAGGACAATTCACTCAGAGATGTCCTGAGAAACAAGAAATTATTTCTAGTTACAGAGTAGCGTTCTTCCAACATTTATTTCCAACATCATTATTTAACATTATATCATATTATCACTTCTGAAGTTCACCCGTGCAAAGCATCAATCATTGATTATCCTACCACCAACTAAATTAAGCCGTACTAATCAGACCCAAGATCGGCAAATGTGAGGTGAAACAGCCCCAGACTTCAGATCCAGGTTATGAGCCATCGGGCTGACAGTCCCAAACAGGGTACAAGCTGATAAATGTTTCCTCTTTATCAGAAATCTGTCCTTGCATTTCATTCATCAAACTTAAAAACAGATGAATCCGTAATGAGAGCCACGAACTGGGTCGCTCCTGCTGTGGATGTGACCTACAGGCTACATATGCGACTCCGTAGTGTGTGGACATTCTTCATGAGCCATGGCAGCAGGCGTCAGGAGGTGACACTGATCTACTCCCAGCGGTGGTTACTGAAACAGCTCTGTCCTGGTGTTGTGTGTGACATTGTGTGCACTCTCAGAAGCCTTTTACATGGCAATAAGCCTCCAGGCTGGCAAAGAGGATGTACAGGAACCATAATCCAAAGAAAAGAAGTGATGTGAGGATTTTGGGGATCCGTGGGCCTCCAAGTTCGCCACCTATGGAAGGCTTACGGCGTAGCATCAACATCCCCATACATAGGAAGGCAAAAATAGTGAAGAGTGTGACGGAGAAGGCCAGCGAACCGGGGTCCACGCGGAAGACCTTCCCTTTGACCTCCCAGTAAATAGCAGCCACGGACCAGGCCAGGCCGATGCCCAAGAATACGTTAACTGCATTGCTTCCCGTCACGTTTCCCACACACGCATCTGCGTACTGATCCTGAGTGGCTGCCACTTTACTAGCAAAGGTATCTGAAAAACACAGTGAAGATTGACAATGAGGTTATTCTGTAAACGTCAATTTGGGCATGTTTTCTTCCTGTCTGAAAGCACACGTACCAGGAACTGAGGTCCCCAGTGCTACAAAGACCACAGCAGTGACAGTATCCCTCAGGCCAACGGTGCAGCCGAAATGGGAGGCAAGGTCTCCAATAACAGCCGTTAAAAGACCAATAACACATATGGACACGAGGAAGCAGGCCCAGCCATTCCAGTACTCAGTGGGTGGGATGCAAGCAAACAGAACTTTCCAGAAAATGCAAAGTATGTGCATGAAATAGTCGAAGCAGTTGGGCGTTCGCTCCTCCTGTCCCTCCTCTTCATCTCCTGTTTAAGAAAGAAACAGACTAATCACACAGGGAAGCAAATGCTTTGTCCACAACCTGGGACATGTTTAAGGTCTTAAACTGACAGTAAACATGAAAAGCATGTTATCCATCTCAGTCTCATGGCTGTTGAATTGAGCAGCTTGCAAAATCCAAACATATTAAACAGCACCATATAAAAAGAGAGGTTAAAACTCGTACCCTCAATTTTGAGCCTACAGCTTAAAATGGACACATACATTTTCACTTTTGCATTGTTCAAAATCCTCAGGAAATTAAATAATCATTTAACAGGAGTTTAAATCATTTGAGTGTATATTAAAGCTAGTTAGACAACAGTAAGGTTTGACTAGTGGGTTAGGTTAGTTTCCACGGTTAGTAAACATTTAGAAACAATTACATTGAATGAAGAAGAAATTTGTAGGGTAATATACTGTATATATTTGTCCTATCAACTAAAAGTATAACCGAGACTAAAGGCAGTAGCACATGTTTTTGAGTCTGCAGATTCGACTCACATCCAAAAGGTGGCGGGCTAATTCAGAAGCAGGAGCTTGATTTTTTATGAGAACGTTTTCAGGATTAAACTGGGCTCCTGAGGTACTGAAAAATCATTGAGTCACACTGGTGCAACAAGACAAAAACAAGTTATTTTCCTTTATAAAAAGGCTATCATAAAGGTTGGTTAATATATTCTATGAAATATTTTGTATTTGTTTAAAGAAAGTGTGATGAGGGGCAGAGATACAAACTATTTTCCATGTTTACATGTTTATCTATTCTAATTTCAGGACAGAACCAAAGATTTTATAATCAGTGCATCCCTGGGGTAGTCAGTTGGTAACTGTTTATCTCTAAATGGTGAAAAAGAAAACATGCACCACTTTGTGGTCTGTAAATAGAAATGGCCAAAAATCAAACACCTCCTCTGAGTCAGAGTTAGTTTTGTTTTTCATTGGGGAAGGTCAGCTGGGTTTATGAAATATGCATATTAAAGTCTAAACTGAGAAAATTGACATATCTGGACACCGTTACATCTGATTCTAAATGTTTATTCAACAAATCCAAAACCTGATCATTTATTTCGGTCAAATAAAAGTCAACTCAAATCGTAAAAAAAGAGGCCATAAGCCTGTGAGCTCACACATATACTGTACATCTGATCAGCATTATGTCTGAAAAATATGTGACAAATGGCCGGAAAATCTATTTAGAAATGACACAGAATGTAATGACTGTAAACAGCATTCAATATTCACCGACCTGCACTGACTGTGACTGCTTCAATGAACTGCTCTCTCCACGAGTGTGTGCCAATCACTACAGCTAGGTTTGTGTCCTTAAGGAGTTTGTCCACAGTGTTCTGTTCCAACAAATGAAACAGGTTAGTAATGAGGCAAAAAACACCACTGTGTTCACATGTCAACCTTTTTTAAGATCTTCATTTTAGTTTGGTTAGTCGATATTTGCCACACAAACAAAGAACAAAAACACAGCAGAAGTCGATGAATTTGCTGTGTTTTATATTTTAAAATGACACACAACACAACAACATTAAGCATGAGGCTCAGAGATGGCACGTTGATACACACATATTTCCTCAGTGTATCTCATCTTAAGATAAATGAGATTCATGAGGGGGAGAAGCTGCAAAAGGATGCAGATGCAGGAATGAAATGACCTTGCTTTCACAATGGTATGCATGTAAATGAACACATAAAGCTAATTCCCATCACACATAGCATGCTGGTAGAAACTGTACCTGGTCTAGCACTCCATTGGGAGTCTGACGCATAAGAGGGCATCAGGTGGTTAGTGAAACAAAAAGCACCATTATGGTTTCCCTAAAAATAATCTGCTTCATGTGTTTTACACCAAAATACATCCACTGGTACATGTATTCAGTAATCTATCTCTCAAGAGTGGTAAGCTTTCTGGAACTGACCCCATCATCAAACACACCTTAAAGTCACAGGCCTCTTGTATGATGACCTCTAGTCGTCTGTGCTCTCCTAGAATGGGTTTTCCCATTTCAGAGATCTTCCTGGCCTCCTCTTCCTCAGGGGTGGGGGCACCTGTTACAGAGCACATATTATGTTGACTGTGTAATATATGAAAACTAACAACCACACACTGTGTCCCATCATGACTTTGGGCCCAAGCAAAAAATAAAACAAAAAAACAAACAAGTCACATGCTTGAAGACACTTTTAATGTTTTAAAGGTGCTGTGTGTAGCATTTAGAGGCCATTCGTTTAAAATAATTCATCTCCAAGTGACAAAGAGCACTTTTTATTTCCCCCCAGCACAGAAACATCAGTTGGTTAAGCACCATTTACCATTTCTACAAGTAAATATTTTTGAGGATGGTACAATGCCTGAGGAGAGGCACTCCCTGCCAGTTTTTGTTAATGTCCAACACATATAGATTGATCATTCAGCAGAGCAAAGAAACAAACATCAAGAAAAAGAAGAAAGCTTTACCTTAGATGCTTACAGATAAAAAAGTATGAGATGGATTACAAATGCTGACTTATAATACATTCATTTTAGCTCTAGGTTGAAGATGCACTTTGAGAGACTACAATGTACCCTTAGTCTCACAAGGAGTGCATTTCTGTTACTTTTTATAAGCTTCATAAAGTGGTTTAAAGCAAGTCTGCACCTACAAAGTGAAAGAACATGAAAGAGAATTCACAACCACATTGTAGAAACATTATTGTTTTCCCACTAGTTTAATAATCCTAAAATGCCAGAAGAAATGGAGAGTGGAAAATGATGAATGTGTACTATACAACTTTGATCTTTCATGTTTTCTCCTTTTCACCCCTGTCTTTTTTATACGAAAAGCATCCGTCTGGATTTCCAGTAGACGTAAAAGAGGTGAACTTTTACAATTCATGTTAAAAAAAGACACGCCTGCTAATGCTAATCATTCAAGTCACATGGAGGAAGAATCATCTAAAAGTGGCTTTTAGGCACACTTTTATCAACTTTATCATCTTTATCAACAGGATCCTGGTGTGTAAACATAGGATCATTCAGTAATTCATCATAATCTATCAGTCAATAATTATTGAGGCAATGGAAATTTTGTAATAAGTGGCCATTTTAAGATGTAAGGTTCTACGACCCTTCATTTAAGACTTTGAACTGCTTTGTTTATGCACAAAGTCTTAAAAAATGCTGCAAACTGCACCTTTAACATGTGCATCCTTTCTACACCAAACAATCTTACCCTGGTTTAGCAGCAGTGCTGTGAATGGAAACAGATAATCGTTAAAAACAGTATTCAGGCACTATTTTCAGGCTTAACACACCAATAAATAACTTTAGTGATGTAGGAAGCTCATTCCTCTGCGTTAGTCGAACCCACTGAGATAAACTGCTGCAGAGTGCAAACAGGTGTAACTGAGTCTTTTGACCCCCACTAACATGCAGATATCCATTTCCTCCTTCATCCTTTGGCACATTGAGGTTACCGGAAGAGGGAACTAATGAATACTAAATTCATAAGCGCCTGTGTTGCACACACACACAGTTGATAGGTTGACACTGGATACTGCTGCAATCTGCTTGCCGTGCACTGCTTTGTCTTTATGCAAATGACAGAGAAAAACTGCATCACTCGGGCCCGCTTTATCACCATCCGTCGTGAACTGATCAAATGCTTGTACTCACCAGAGATCCCTCGCTTCAGCCACTTTGGGTCCTCGAGCACGATAAAAAAGTTTTCCTGCTTCTCGTATTCCTCAACATTTATTATGCGTACCTGTAATATCTGACTGGAGATATTCAAGCACATACACACAAATTTAATTAAAAAAGCATGTGGTGTTGTTAAAAAAGACAACTAACACCAAGTTTTAAACATCTGCTCTGACCTCTAAATCAAATCACTCAATGACGTGACATAAATATTTAATACCAATGAGCCATTTAAAAATTCAGGGTGTGCTTGCTCTTCATTATGCAAATGATGATGTATGACTAAGTGAAACAAGACCCCAGTTAATCAGTGCCTGTAGAAAAAGCTCAGCCAAACACTATTAAAAAGACCATCCATTACAGCTAAGTGACCGTCAATGGGTCAGATTAAAAACAGTCTTTCGCTAATCGTGCAACTTGTCAATGTTCAAACACAGCTTATTCAGCCTGAAATTTTAATGAGGAAAGGATCTGTCGTTTTAGATGGGGTGGCCAGGAGTTCCCACACCTAATGGGAGGCAGGGTTAGGTGCAGGTGTCAAGTCATCAGGTAATTCTGTCTGAAAGGACCTCCTGATGTGCGTGCGTGACTGCTGGTGATCTTTCAGCGAGGTTAAGGTGCCATTTCTTAGAAAGCTAATGAGCCAAAGTACTTCATTTACATAACCACAGAGTCCATAATGGCTTAACCGAGCTTCCATTTGATCACATTCAGTTTGGATCTTATTAATATATCATGTCAGTTCAGATGGATGGTTCAGTGACAGTTGCGATGACAACAAAAACATCGTGCAAAACTTTAGAGCCACCCTTAATTTCTTTTCATTCTGGCAAGAAGACAGAGCAATGAATTAAAATGTATGCCCAATTGAATACAGAGTTTGTACAATAATAATGAGACAGCCTCCAGCCAGCTCTGTGTTCTTTCTTTAAGGAGTCTTTCTTAAGGACATCACTTTCAGATCTTCCTCATCTACTGGAGATGATTTTTAGGCTTTCACTTGTCCAGTTTCCTCAAACGTTTAAAGGAAACACTACACACCATGCTGACATATGGCATGATTACAGTTAACAGCTTGTTGCTGCAAAAATGCTATTTTCAGTCCGTCCATTTTATGTTTATTAGTTTTTTAAATGCAACTAAAGAAATGTGTAAAGTGCCTCTAAGGATTCCAATTTCAAACTGGTTCTTTTGCAGGTTTTATGTTATGCGTAGACAAAATACTGGTTTATACTTTGAAAAAATTACTAAATTATTTATATTTCAGTGCTCAGTGGCTTGATGAATAAAAATGTCTGAACTAAAAATGTATGAAAAAAGAAAAAGGTCTGCAAAACTTTTCCTGAAATCACAAGACTAAAAGAAAGATTTCAAGAAAGTAAAATATAAACAAATGAGTAAAATTGGTCAAGACGCAAAGAGCATTTTATCTACTGACATGAAAATATAAATGTAAACTAAAACAACTGTCTTTTCAAATACGTATTTTTACACGTAGGATTTCTAATCATACATTTTGATCTTTGCTGAGCCAGTGGAATAGTTTCTAATTACATCTCACTGAGTTACGACTGACAAAACAGATGCAGAAGCATTTAAAGCTGGATTTGTGGTTTTTTGGGAAGACTTTCCTCTACAATCACATTTTTCTCTGATTCCACACAAGTGACACATGAAAATCCGCATTAAGAGGGAATCCATCCTGAGAATGTGGTTTCATAATCTTCTTTACTGCTACTGATTGTCCCTCACCTGGTCTGTTCATTGGTGAACTCCAGCTCCCCCTTGACCTCCTCATAGTCCACTCCTGCCTTTGCACTACCGTCCTCTGTGTGGTAGGGCACAGCGACTGTGCCCCTGGAGCCTGAGTTCCTCACCACAGTCACTGTTAGCATGCCGCTGCTCTCGCTCACTCGCAGCACCTCCTGCCCAAAGGTGAAGATTCCCGCGTGGTCATCATCAAAAATGGTGATGGTGGCAACCAGAGGCTCCACTAGTCTGCCCTTAGGTGGAGTTCCTGTCCCTTCGCCTCCTGCCTCTTCTAACCTCAGCTTATGGAGACGCACAAAGAAATGCTCGTCCTCTTCAAAGATGTCATCATCCAAGATGTTCACCTGGAGGGAACAGTACACGTTAAGGTTCCTCTCCTCGCCTAAACATCAAGGCTTTAATGGTCAGAAAAGTCATGCACATCAAGGAAATATTCAAGTGTTCGGATGCCAGATTGTACACACACATCTTTAAAAAAACACAGATAAAAATCATGCAGATATCCTGAAAAGTACCCATAAAGATCAGATGTACTGCTGCTTATGGTTAGAAAAAGTCGTCACTCCTAAAGCTGCAGCCTTTAACACCTCGTTGCAATCATAGTTAAATTTTCCTTTCATTCATTGACCAATTAACTGTTAGTACACTGCTGTTGGTGACAATTAATCTCAAATGATTTACTATTCCAAATTACTGAACAAACAGAATATCTACAGATGAATGTTTCAATTCTACTAATAATCAGTAAGTCAAAACAAGTTTAGTTTTTGACACAAAAGATACAGAAAAAAAAAAGTTCCTTAGCATGACCTAAAACATCAGCTAAACTATCAGGCTTTTGATTTAATTTGGTGTTTAACCTAGAAATGACCTAAAAAACAAAGATCAAATCATTGGCGATCTGGTGACAGAACAATATTACAGCCACTGATTTTATATTAAATGCGTAATTATGAACATGTTTAAATCCAGACTGCAAAAAAATAGAACAATGTAGAAAAGGAAAAAACTAATAGATGCCCACAGTTGCTGAGACATTTCTTTTAATCATATCTGAAAATGTGATATCTTTAAACTAACTGCTTGGTTTTTTCTGTCTTAAAGTGACACTTGGGGAAAAAAGAGAGATGTATTTCTATTGATGTTTTCACCTTGATTTCTTTTTGTGTTTCCCCAGGTTTGAACACCAGGGTTCCTTCGGTGAATTCATAGTCTGATCCGGCATTGGCTGACCCATTTTCTGTACAGTAGTCCACATAAAACGTGTCCTGGCCTGTGCCTCCATCCAGGATCACCACCAGGGTCAAAGAGCCACAGTTCTCTGTGCACTGGTACTGAGCACTGTCAAAGTAAATGTGGGAACATGTTGCCTTGTCAGCATCCTCCCGTCCTTTGCGCCGCCTGTGATCAGCCGCGTGTCTCTTTAAGATGTTCCCGGCGCCGATCATCATGCGCGTTGCCTGGATACGGTAGAAGGCGCGGCTCTTCTTCTGGTGAACCAGGGCGGAGTAGTTGGCCATCTCGATAAGCTGGTCCAGGTCTTTGTCGGGGTGTTTCTCTTTCAGGTCTTTCAAAATGCGAACCACCTGTTCAGGAGAGGACCATCATATGTTGCTAAATGTCAGTCAAAATTGCATTTCAAACATACAGATTATTCTCGCCCGTTGACCACTGGGGATGGATGGAAATACAGATGATTTGACTTTTCCCATTAAGGAATTGCTGGGAGCTCTTACTGTTTGGCTTTTTGCTGGATGTCTGATACTTTTGTTATATTGTCATTATGGTAACTTCAAATTCATAAAAACATTACAAAAACCCTGAACCTGAGCAGACTACAGACAATCAACTCTTCTCTGCCTTAAATTTCCAGCCATTAGCTGTTGACAGAAACAATATTTCTACCTGGATCTTACCTCATCTTTGTCTTGGTCTAGTTCATGGCCCGTCTGCACAGAGACCGTTGCGCTGGACGAGTTTCCCGGGCACGCGCTGCCATCTGACAGCTTTCCATCCATAATTACATCAATGCCTTTGGGGGAAAGGTCCCCCTCCATTTCCACCACAATGCCGTGCCTTTTGTCAGCACGATATCGCTTGTGCATGTATTTGTAGAACAGCATGCGACGATCAGCGATCCATGCCAGGAGCACACACACCGGGAAATAAAGCAGCGTCACAATGGCCTCCCACACCTGGTGATACAGCCAACACGACAATTTACCCACTTGATAAGTGACAAATAAAATCAAACATTGCAATTAATTTAAAATTTGGACACCTCTGAGTAAATAGCTTGAAGACTTAAACAGCTAAAACACTCAAGGGGCAGACTATTGCCACACATCACTGACCCTCGCCACACAATGTGGCATTTAAAGCCAGTTTAACTTGTTTAAGAATAATCAATAATCATACATATACAAAAAAATGATCTCACAGTTTCAAGTATTTTATATGAATGATGTTTTCAGAACATCTACTATTACATTCCCGGGTTTTTGGGACGGGACAAACCTATGCACACACTCCTTCTTACACTTTTGACATTTTGGACATCACACCAGGGGACTAACAACTGATGCTCTGCTCTGATTACACTGAACTTTTGTTCACTTCAACACTCAACAAAATGTGTTGTTTGTCAAGACAAGCCCAAACACTTCATGTCAGGAAACAGAAGGTCACCTCAACAATCCCAGGAGAGATGACAGCCAGTATGAGGTAGAGCCAAATGTAGGCAAAAATGCTCCAGAAAGCTGTGATAAAAAACACCCGCAGGTGTTTGATCTTGCGAGATTCTCCATCAGGGATCACCCACACACACAAGCCAATTATCACGAACATATTGAAGGCAGCGCTGCCCACGATGGTGCCCGGGCCGAGTTCCCCTGCATCAAAGTTATGTCCGCACACCTGCAAAGTGGATAGAAGAGTCAACCAAACTTCTATTTTCTCTTTCGTTTATTTATAAATTAAATCTGTTCACTTGGATTGCAGTGATCTTTTACTTAAAATCATATAATCTTACCTTCACTCTCCCTTAAATTTTACAATTGAAGGGAATGTAAGAGAAAAGTTTTTCAATGCAAAAAAAAATTCAAGAGAGTACCTCAATAAGAGAGAGCAGGATCTCTGGTGCAGAGGAGCCCAGAGCCATGAGTGTGAGGTTGGATACAGTCTCATTCCAGATCCGTACTGTCATCACAGTGGTTTCCCCGTTGGGTTTGGTGATGGTCACCTCTTTCTCCTGGTTTCACCATTTTTCAGGTTTGGTGTTGGAACATGGAACACAGACAAGCCTCATTATTTACATTCCAGAGATATTTGTGAGACAGCAGCATCTGAGCCATTAATAAGACCCGAGGAAACAGATGCACGGCATGTAAGCTCTGAAAGGATATGCTCACTAGTGGGGAATTTCCTCCCATAGCTGCCAGTGTTTGTGTTTGGCACGTCACTTATCGAAAGCCCTGCTTGTGCAGTTTACAGTAACTGGGTACTTTGCATGCAGAGCTGTCACAGTTACTCAGAAAGAATCTCACTGAGAGTCCTAATAAAGGCTGTTGAGGAGAAAAATATCTTCTATATTGTCCCTGTTTCCTAAAATGCCTATGACACCATCAGTGGTCAGATGCAGGAAACTCTACAGAAACTTCTGATCCTATGCCAAAGGCTTTCAGGTTGCTTCATTTGCCCCTTTGTGCTTCTAACGGAGAGGATGATTATTTCAAACAGTGACATTTTTTCCCTGTCAGCTTTTGCATGCAGTTTTCATTTATGTTAAACAATGACACGCTGAAATATGACTGCATTGGGTGTTTTTACCTCATTTTAATTACCGAAGGATTTAAGTCAGTACTTTATGCTCTGTTTAAATGCTTGGAACTGAAAGAGGGAGCATTTTCCTTTTCACACTACCATAAATTTGTTTCCCGATGCCATTTTAAATGTATTTTTGGAGTTAAATGAACCATCAAAATCGATCAAGGTTCCTTTTAACACAGAGCTACAAGCTTATTGATGCATAGCAGAATCTATTAAAACTAGAGGGTTTCTTTTTAGATTATCACATACAATTGGAAGGGAAGGATAGAAGCCCCACATTCATCAATATTAAACTAAACTCAGTCAAAATTCCGTTTATAATTAGTTTCATCATTTGTAATTAGCACAAATAGATACCTGAGAGGTTATGACTTCTATTGATGCCATAAAGCGGTCTGCAATAATGGACACACCCAGGAACATGTACATGAGACAAGCGAAGTAGATGATAGCCCTCCCTGTCTGCTCCCCTACTGGAGGGTTGAGAGGCAGCCACACCGGCAGCAGGATGCCCGGCCTGCACACCACATCATCGGAGCACGTTCGTTTTCCAGACGTCGTGGTGTTCCCAGAGGACTGAGGCTGCTGGTGGTCAGATCCCCGCTCTATGCCCTGAGGCCTGAAGGAGGAGCAGGGCTCGCTCAGGATGAGGAAGAGGAGGACAAGGAGTGGGGAGAGGTAAGCAGGGAGGGGCCCCATGATGCCCTGAGTCAGGAAGAGCCTCAGAGTCGGGCTTCTCTGGGGTAGCCGCTGGGTCCAAACACAGTCCTGGAGAAGCAGAGACAGAATGTTGCAAGGACGAGATGAGATGGCGCTAAACAGATTAATAATGCAACTTACTTTACGGCATTTCTAAGAAGGTGAAATATTTCTATTCAAACTAGCTCTCACAATGAAATCCCCCTTAAAGTAATTGGATTTACTGCTTTACTGTATTTCCAGAGTGGTGACCCACACAGAAAGCTCAGAGAACCAAACTTTGATTTACAGCAAAATATCAGCAACATATAAAAAACTCATTAGTCTAAGAAGATCTACTGTTTTGTTCTGGGAAGCACACCACATGTTTTCCAGTTTTAACACCGCTCATTAAAAGAGCCGGTGCAGTGGACATGCAAGCCTTTAATTTTGGAAGCACACGTTACAATGCTGGTGTTAGAAAATATTATGCTTTGCATTTCTTTACAGTGAAGGACACGTGAAAGCGAAACAAATATGGAAATATAACAGCAGTGTCATTCAAGTTATTGGCAAAAATACCTGATAGATGTGTAAAGACGAATTAAACTTTAGGATTTTCTAACCAGTTTGGAGCGGAAAAAATACAACCCTGCTATTTTTAGCCATATTTATGACAAATACAGGTTTTGAATAACTAGAAAGGAATTAAATATAACGCTCTGCACAAGTGGCTGAAAAAGTTTACATCAAGGTCTGTCATAAATTATATGGATAATCAACCCCTCATTATATGGACCTCTAATACTAGATTCAGCTGTGATGATTTTTGACAAATATTTTCAAAAAGGGCCACAGAGTCACATTTGGACACGCTGTTTGTTGAGCTTTTTTTTTTTTATTACAGCAACCGCCGTTTTAAAGGAGTCAACAGCAAACTGCACCCGACAGCAGGATGACTTTTCTGAGGCAGTAAAGCCTGGCTGTTAAGCCACGCAGCTTCCATGGTTTTCATTCTGGTGCACCAGCCACTAACCCCAGCTGGAAAGAATGACTAAGCACTAATTCACGGCTCGGTCAATGTTCCACTGTTTGTGGCACAGTCTCAACATCACTGAGTGAGAGCTTATCGAGGGGCTTACTCAAGGCAGTAAATGAGGTTATTGTACAAAAGAACAAACATCAACAGATCGAACACGTGATGACATTCGGCAGGAAGCTTGAAACTCCTCATGGGCCACAGCCTCAGCTCCTCCTAACACGAGACATTGTGTGTTGAAACAGATACTGAGGTGCTGCATCTTTGATGCTGCCAGAGCTCAGCCAGCTCATTATGAAGTTGTGATTCAGAAACACAGCCCAGAGGGCCGGCTGCATCGCATTTCACTTTCCAAGGTCTGCTATGGTTACCACGACCTCAGACAGAGGGCCACCTTACAACAACAAGCGCTTTAGGTGGGTGGCCCACCAAAAATAACCCCACTGAGCTATAGAGCCCAGAACAAAGTTATTTGGCCTAAATAATGGGTGAGAATACTGTCACATTTGTCCAGCAGACTTCAGCGTGCTAACTAACCAGCGACATGCCAGAGTTTCTTTAACATCGCATCAAACTGTGGAGTAAGTCCTGAATGCACATCTGCCTGGAAATGTGAAGCTTTCTCTCACATTTGTGTCTTGACAGGTAATGACCGGCATGCTGGTCGGGAAGCTGCTACTATAAAAGCTGCATGCATAATTTATCATCAGAGCTCCACCTAAATATAGCAGGATGTATTTTTTCCCTTCACGGCCGCTCCAAACACCTCTGTAAACATCCAGAGCCGTAAAAGGAGTCCTCCTGAATCTTTCCACTCGAGAAGTTAGGCACATGGGTAGATGAGTGAGCACACAAATGCTGCCTGTTTACACTCACTCAGGCTGCCCTGCACCGTGACAGATTTACAGATCTAGGTTAGTTCTCTTTGCTTTTCTCCTTTTCTAGGATAGTATAGATAAAGATGAAGCCCCTCTGGTGCCTGTTGGTGGAGAGGTCGAGGGGAGCTGATAGATGTGTGTTTCACTTTTCCTCTTCGCGCACGGGAACGGTGAGCTGGGTGACAGCTCGTCTCCCATTACTACCTCTGACACAGCGACTATCTGTCAGCACCACCGATAAGTGATTGCCTGAGGTTATCTTACACCGATAGAAGCACCAAAGAAAAGGGAGTTAGCACCTTTAACAGTTTAATATTTCCCGCCTGTTGCCGGGCGCCGGCTGCCTTTAGATGAAGGATGCTCTCTGTGCAAAGCAGTCTGGACTGACACTGGGATGAATTATTCAGCTAATAATGGTGGATAAATACAAATAAATGAATGTAGTTTTACTCACAAAAACACTTCTGGGTGACTCTGAAGTCTTCTTTATCTCTGGTAATCCCGCATCAGCTCAGGTCTGCAACTCAGTGACATCTCCTCCTGCTGAGGTCTGACAAACTGTAAAAAAAAATGAGGAGACATGGAATGCAACTTGTTGCTTTAAGCTGTTGTCTTATTACTCGCTCATCAATGGATGAACTATTACTTTGCAGCACCTGCCAGTCACTGCGTAGTGAATATTTGCATTAAAAAAGGTAACCAACCTTTAGAGAACAGGTGGAATCTGGACGTAATTTTTTTGTTAGGATCTTTAATATTGGTAACATTTTGATTGATTTCCCTTAAAAATACACCCATCTGTACAGACAAAGGAAATCTTGTTGCATTGGCCAATGCTTTTGGTGAGATAACTTGTGCTTTTTGTTCACTCTTCTCTTCCGGGTCTATCTTAAATCTTTTGATATATCTCTTATATTGAGTGATTTTCTTTGTGCTACGTTGTTAGAGTGGCTCTTCTTGGGAGATTTCCTGCACATTAATTATAAATCAGTCTGAATGAAGCAATTAATGTGCAATATCATCTGAACTTTTAACTTTAACTTTTTAACCTGCTGACCTGTAATAAGCTCTGTACCTGTTGGTGTTACTGAATAATTTTAGATTTATATCTTCATTCCCCCTAGTTTCCTTCCCCCCATGTAAATCTAATGTAAGTCCTATTACTATCACTTACTTGTTCTGCTTGAAAATTTAAATAGATGCAACATTTTAAAAACCCTTAAAAAAAAGAAAAGAAAAAAAGAAAAACATTCCTACAATACACCCACTGCAGAACATCATCTGATCAAGTTACAGAGAAATCAAGGCAGTTAGACAGTCTCAGGGTTCGATTGTCTCTCCATTTGGAGCTGAAGCAAAGAAAGGAAAGAGATCCGTCCCTTTAATAAGTAACACAGGGCTTTGGCCTGTCAATGAACCAGATGAATCGGAGTGTAAGATAATCCATCTGGCCACACAGGGACAGACAGACATGCAGAGTGAGTCAAATCACTAATGTGGCATTTTGTTTGGTACATATTTGTAGGCCTTCATGTGATTTCAGTGTGTGAATTTCTAGTCCACTGTGGCACCACGAGCTGTAGCTTGAACACAGCTGAACTCAGGGCAGCTTCTTGGTTAAATATGCCAATTTAGAGAAATTCAACGTGGATAAAGCATATACCCATTACAAAAATGTGTATTTGATTTAAGAGCATCCATCCAGTTTCCCAAACCAAAAATATGGAAGGCACCTATTACCATATGAAAATGTTCAAATGTGGCAAATCAGCCTTTTGATGACTTTAACATGTCTCTTTTGGGCTGAAAATTGTGGCCTGAGGGAGACATAAAGTGCCTGTATCTAGTTCTCGGCCTGCTTTGCATAGCCAGGCTGGGGTTTGTTAAAGAGTTATCTCATTAAGTTGTTTCCATTGCATGATTTTTTCCAGAGCAGCCTCTGCAAATGTTTAAACAAGTTAAAAACATGTCACACAGACATGGTCGTCATCAGCAACAGGACTGGATGTAAGACTTTAATTTTATAAGAAAGAGTGAGGAAGGTGACATCTGGATAAAAAATGACAGCCTTTATGGACTTCAGCTGTCATCACCTTGCTATTGTGAGCACAAATACATGACCTCAGTACCTAAATCTGGAATGCGGATAGAAAGGAGGAAATTTCCAAACCATTTTATATGAAAAATGATTCAGTTCTCTTTGAAGGCTAGTTTACAGTCCATTCAAAACTACATTCATCACATCCACAGTTTGCATCAAGCTCTGTAGAGATACAAAGTTAATCTTCCACACAGGACGCTGTCTCTCCTCTCTGTCCACAGAGAGGTATAAAATTAACAGCCCTCGCTCAATCAGTAGCGCAGCAGAAATAATTGGTTTCCGTGAGTCAGAGCTCACGCACTGCCTTTGTCCGCTTCATGTCCAACAGGTCCACATTACCATCAATCTGGACAGGAGCGCTGCAAGCTTGGCTGAGTCCAAGGCTTAATTTACAGCAAGGCAGGCGCGATGCGTCGACGTGCAGTTTCTCCAGTTTGGTTATCTGCTTTCAGCCACCATGCTTCTGTTTCACCCAGATCTGATGCTGAGAGGCATTTCCTTTCTGTTCTGATTGTGTCCTGTTGCTTTTAGGAAAAAAAACACTTTTTAAAAAGTTTTTTCTCTATTTTGGGGGGGTATTTTTACCCAGATATAATGACCGTGCAAAGTAGTGGAATTCTTGCAAATCAACTGCTTTGCAGATTGTCAGATTTTAATCAAAAACAACTGGGTTGTTTGTTTTTTTTAGCAGATCAGCTGCTTAAAGTAGTTAAAATTGGTCAAAATATTCCATAAACCATTGGAAAAATCTATGAAGTGGCCATAAGAGTTGCAATGTTGTAAAGCACTGCATTTACATTAATTAGAAGAAATCTACAATAATTCACCTACTCTGTTTTTTGGAAGATGAATGATTAATTTCTCTTTCTATTCAATGCATTCAATGCTGTAGTATCTGCTCATGACACAGAGTAAAACCTCTCATTATTTAAAGATATGTAACAGCCATAATAGGTTTATGAAATTTAAGGACTCTAATGAGAATCATTCTGACACAGGAGCTTTAAGCTGCTGTCAGACAGGGATGATTTTTCCCCAAATAGTTTAGTATTCAACCAAAAACATTATTTAACTAGTGAGTCTTCTAAACATTTTTTTTAAAAACTCATGGTTTTATTTTTCATATTCTAAAGTAGAGAAATCAATCCCATTAACACTCCGAATCAATGGACAGAAGCATTTATTTAACAATTTAACTACATATTTTAAAAAATGTAATTCAAATAACATGTTTTTGTCCCCGATTGTCTAATCAAGCTCTGCTTTTTCTCTACGAGGTCTAAAAGAAAACATCACAGCATCACTTCACCAATCTCTACACTTTCAACTCTGGCTTTATGTGAAGAACGCACTTTCAACTTTGTGACAGCACTAAGAGGCCACTGAGAGCTCCTGAGTCACTGCCCTTAAGATATAAATCCCACACAGCCTTTAATCCTGAGAACATCTCCAATAGAGAATCACTCTAAAAGCGTGAACTGGGTGGGCAAAAAGACGCCGCATGGGACCAGGGTGAGACGGACAGAAAGGGGTCGAGAGACGAGCGCCGACAGCCAGCAGACTGCAGCTCCTGAGGTTTCCATTACCTGAGACTCTCTGCTCAGTCACCGGCAGCCCTGACACCTTAGAAGGAGCAGCATTCTCAGCTTCACCATGAACCCAGACAGGGACACCTGTTATGCAATATTCAGTGTGCTTTTCGAAAACTTCCGTCATAATCTGCAAACTCCTGGCTGTGCGAAGAAACGTGGCAAAAATCTGATGTCAAAACACCGCTTCACACATTATGGTGAATTCAGATGGACGCTGCTGGACCCTGGTGAGCAATACCTAACCTAATAATGTTGTTTTCCTCCTGGGACGCAATAATGAGACTTAAGTGACTTTATGGTCATAAACTGTGAGACATCACATGGCACAGAAAGCTCAAGCAGAAAGTTAGCAAACCACTGGCAGATATTTGTGTTTGAAACATGATGCAGAGCAACAATCTAGTTTAGACCACCGAAATGTGCAGAGGCAGCCGGCCGGTGGGGACTTACAATGGACAAGAGAGTCCAAAAAACAAAACAGAACCCACAGGCACTAACTCACCGCACCTACACACCAAAAACACTGGCACACACGAGACTGTACAGTACACTGCTGTAACCCAAAGCTAAATAGGTTAATTGTTTTGCCATCAGTTGTTAAGGAGGCTAAAATAACCATAAATTACAGATCTCTGACAGAGCTGTTACACAAAGCTGCATCCTGATTCTAAATTATGTGAGTAACCAGCACTCATTGCTAAAGTAGCATTAAGCATTAATGATTAAATGGGGCAGGGTAAAGGAGGCCCATCCATAGGTCCTGACTCCCCTAAATCAAGGAGCTGAAGAGGCGGGCGGCTCGGATAATCCGCACAGTTTTACTGATTGACCGTACAGGAAATGTGAGAGAAAGGTGAGGTCTAGTGTGGCCCATTGTCCCAAGGCACCTGCAAGTGACGGGCCTATCGCTATCCGAGCACAATGCCGCAGCATTGGTTTACTTGATCCATCACACACGCTGGGGGAGAGCTGCGAGTGTCAGTGTCTGCCAGCTGATGAGGTGGGCTGCTTGGATTTAGCTCCACAAGGCCAGCGCACAGCGTCCTCCTTTAAAAACTGTCTCATCACAACAACACAGAAAAGAACTGATCATATTCTCAATCGTGATAATAGATTGTTGTTGGAATTGTTTTAAACAAAAACCTTTAAAAAACAAAAGACATGTATTTTGCAAGCATGAATTAACATGGTTGTATTCTATTAAAAATATTATCAAGCCTACATTGAAATAAAGATTTCAGAGGCTTTAATGCCTCAAATAACAATAAAATAATCAATCAAATTAAGCTAAGTATCAGTAAACAAAGTCCAATTCTATTAGTTTAACATATTCTCTCTATAACTTTGTTATTATCTGAACAGCTATTACGACCATAGTTCTTTTTTATTACTTTTTTTTTATAACCACTGTCTGACATATCATTATATTAGATACAACAGGTAATGAGTTTATTGAATGACACTAATAATTATTGTGGTGTTGTTTGGACCCTGAATGAAGCAATAAAATCTTCTAATCAAATACAGTGGACAGCAATGGGGGTGCATATGCAGCCAATGCCCGCTGTCTTATGCATCATCAGCACATCTATGGACATGGGTGAGGAGGGATGCTGACCACCTGTTAAAGGGTCCATCTGGTCTGATATCATAATACTGAAACCTGGTCTTTAACTATCCACAAAACAGCAAAACAGATTAATTTTTAGTCTAGATTAAGGTAACAACTTATTTATTATAAACGATTGTCTATTTCATTCACATCTTCCCCCATACTGTCTGAACATCCTTAACACATCCTTAACAAATTCGTGATTAAAAACATTGTAAACTAAGTTGAAAATAGACTATGTGTCTGAGCAGCTGATAATTTAAATATTTCTTACTTAAATCCAAAGTTGGATCAAAGTAAGAAATATTTAAATTATCAGCTGCTCAGACACATAGTCTATTTTCAACAGTTAAAAAACGCCAACTATTGTTTACAATGTTTTTAATCACGACCCCGGAGGGGTCGGGAGGGCGTAGCCTTTCGCCGTCTCCCGGAGCAAAGCTTGCCCGCCGCTGCCCTCCCTTCTCCCGGACTCTTACCTTCACTTTGGAGGCAGGGTCCCACCAAAAGCTGCCATTGCGTCTAAAAGTGTTGGAAACCCACGTCCGGTAAAGCTATGCCCGTCTCGCGACACCGCCGGACTGAACTTTCCGTTAACTCACATCGCCGTTAACACTCGCAGTGATGCTGCGAGCCCACGCGGCGGATGACGTGCTGCCTTCAGGGTGCGCTCGCGAGTTCACGAGAGCAGCGTTCCAAGACGTAAACGTGACAAAAATGGAAGTCTTTTAACCATAAATAACAAGGAATAAAATATGTTTAGTGGTATGATATAATAAACCAACCCAGCTAGCGTTCTATTCCAGAATTAGGAACAAATAGCTGATGCCCGGGTCATTACTGACAGAACTTGAAGGCAGCACAAAGCGAGAACTGTGCAACTTCACAAAGTTGTTCCTATTTATGATTTAACACAAATAAATAAGGAAAAATCTTGCTCTGAAGGTGTATATAAACATGATCCCTTTATCATTCAGATTTTTTTGCCCTTTTCCCGTGTGTTTTAGATAAAAATTTGAACCTCCACTGAACTTTACTTTTTCTACACAACTCCTGGAAAGAGGGCCTCGATTTACCTAAATTATTGAGACAGTGAGAAATGTACGCAATTGTAAAGTAAGCAATCAATGGAAACAAATAATGAAACATCTCGAGTTCACCATGTCTATAACATCAGATTGCATTTCTTTGTCATCAAAATGCTCCTAATTTTACAGTCCACACAAAAATCCACTGCATTTCCATATGCAATTCTAATTAACAATGTATTTGAAATAATACACTGAAAAATATTTAATACAATGTTAATCGTGATCATGGTATTTGCACATCAGCAATGTATTAGAATATCAATATCTGCCCTTCATTAGAAAAACAAACTCAAATTATGCACATACATTAACTTTAGAATAATTCCAAAGCAATCCAAAAGTTCTAGTGAACCACTGGCGTGCTGTCGTGCAGTTTGTATTGGAAATGGACAAATTGGACACCTGCAGGCCAACACAGAAGTGTAAGGTGTAAAGTTTGGATACAGGCGGTAATTTGTTGTGTGCATGACTTTTGGAAAAGCCTGCAGATTATCCCCGCCTCTCCTCATGAGGCTGACCCTTACCATGACCTGGAGGAACTCCATATGTGAGATTTGGTTATGGGTTGGGTACCCTGACTCAAGTCTATTGAGTGAATATAATCCCTGAGCAAACTTCATTAAGCAAAAAGAACCTGTCTGATAGTCACTGGGCGTGTTAAAATACACACACTCATTCAGTAACACGCTCACAACAACAATGGAGACACACCTCAGCTTTAGGTGGGCTTTAACCTGTGTCATAGATGCTGTGAATTAGGACTTTTGAGATGTACTTCAAGGACCCAAATGCAGAGCTGCTCTGGGAATGCCTCCAAACTGAACCAACTTAATGCAGTTTCTGGGAATACACACACATCTGTTTCACACAGATGGATGCAAAACTTTGACACAGGTATGAAAAGAATAAAACCATCAACTCTGAGAATAATTGCTTGTTTTATTATTGGAGCAGAGCTGTAATCAGAACTTTAAAGTAGAAAACCTTGATTAATCCCAGTCCTTTATTTGAAAAATCAAACATATATATTAAAATAGCTTCAAATCAACCCCCCAAAACATAATAAAATATCATGTTAATATCAGCATTTTTTTTTTCTTTTTCTGTTTTTTACACACTCTAAAAGCGAAAAACTAGTTCAATTAATTGGCTGAAAATTCAGCCTATGAACTGCTTTTGACTGGTCTCACAATCACTGAGCTGCCAGTGAACAAAGTGGGAAAGAAATCATTGAGGAAACTGTTCTTCAGCCGGTGCAGGAAGTGGACGTATCGCACCCCGGGTCCATAGCCAGAGAACACGTGTGACACCTGCAGGCCAACACAGACGTGTGCAGTCAAACGTTTGCATACAGAAGCCAGTGAGGCACTGGGAGACTCACCTCCTTCCAGTTGTGGGAGTAGGTGCTCAGGTCCTCGCTGGGGTTGACGGCGTGCTCAGAGATCACCGTGCTTTTGTCAGCACCCAGTAACTTCACATGCAGCCTGTAGATGGACTCGTGCACCTGACTCTCCTCATACCTGACAAAATGAACATAACTCATCGGTTATTTTCCCAGTACCTTCCATGATACTGTCACATCTGTTTAAGGCCAAATAGAAATGACGACCAAAGGGCGAATCTTAATAAGTTCGCTCTTTTCTATCTACAAAAACCTGTTTTAAAAGCTAAACAAATTTACTTGAAATACTTTCTCAGGAAAAATCTGGAATACTGTGGACTGTGTGGGGAAAAGTATATTCAAAATATTTCGGAGGTGGATTTTCATGAATTTGATCCCTTCTCTTCTCTTTTTTGCCTTGATTTCTTTCTGGTAGAGCTTCCTTATTGCACAGCCATCTTAACCCAATAAGGAAGGAATGATGAGTACCCTAAAAAATTGTTTTACAGGGGCTGGAGGGTGTAGAGGGCTCTGCAACCCACCAATCTTGAACGACGATTTCAGGCTGAAACTCGTCCAGCAGCTCGTCCCAGAGACCCTCAGCCTTCAGGTCCACAACCTGCTCCAAGGTGAACCAGCTGAAGATGAGACAGCAGGGATGAGTCTAAATCGCACTGATGCATTCACACATGCTACAGTCACATGTAGAAACCTATATTTTGATCTCTCCATGAACACCGACCTGAACTGAGGTAATGCACAAATCACAGCACCTGCTGGGATGCCACTGGAGTCTAGCGGCAGGACTTCTGTGCTCGTGGTCCAGCCAGAAAAATCCCCTGAGATTTAAAAGATTACTAAAGCGTTACCAGAGGTGTCTCTCTCAGTTAGAAGTATGAATACTTTCAAATAAAACAATAAGCAATGTAACTTTAAGCACAAAAAAAGTGAATGAAATGAAGTAAAACCAAAACTTTTAGGGAATCCCAGACCTCATTCATGTTTAGTGGCTATTTTAGAAAATATGACAAAGAAAATGATGAAAGTCAAAACCGATGCAATGCATGAAAAACAAATTTCTCTAAGTCCGATTCATCTGCTTCACTTTACATCCCGTCGTTGGTGACTAAAACATCCTGATCATTCCTGACTCACCGTCAGGCTGAAAACGAGGAGGTCCGCCTCGTGGTGCGTCAGGCAGCTCAGGCTCTGGTGGAGGAGCATCCTTACTCAACCCTGTTCCGGAGAGAGGAGAAACCAACATTTGAATCCCAGTTCAAATCTCACAAAGATAAAGATGCCATCATTCTGACGAGGTGTGTGAAAACACACCGTCTAAAGCTTTGGTCAACACAACCACAACTTTGGAGACACACCCAGCTCCAAACTAGCCTGTTTTCATTTTTACAGGTGGGTGTGTAATCCTTAAACCAAACACAGTTACCTCCCTTAAACTTACCCTCAACTTTTGACCTTATATTAACTTAGTGGCTCAGAGCGCACACAGGTAGATAATGTCGGTCTCAAGCTCTCACAATAAAATGGTAATTGTTGGGGGTCAAACCAGCAACCTTCCAACTGAATTATAACCCCACCTGAGCTTTTTTTTTTTACTGACTTTTAGCTTCAGTACAGTGGAAATGTGAAAATCCACCGATTCAATGGCATAAACAAAACATAAATAAATATTAAATAATGAAACGTTTACTAATAAAACTTGAATTTGTATTGCATCCAGCTGTTTTCAGTGAAGTGCACAACTTGCACGATTATAACTACAAACAACTTTAGGATGTTTAATATTAACCGCAAATAAAATGAGAACGTTAATATCGGTTAAGTTAATCATTAACTACAGAAGCGACATGTATAACTTCAACATTTGCATCATGAAATGAAGAATACTGTCGCTGTAAATTCAAGGCTGTGAATTGGTAGCAGTTTTCTCCTGAATTAAAACTCAGAAATATGACTCATAGCTGTCTCGCGTTACCGAAAGGCGCTGTGTTCTTCAGCAGGTTTCTTCCCAGGGGCTTGGCCTCATACGCGGACTTCCAGTCCACGCCGTCGGGCATCGGGGCGCCCTGCAGACCCCACTCAGCCTCGCACCTCTTCTTCCACTCAGACATGATGCGTGGAAGTGCTGTGCGGGATGATTCAACCAGGAAGTGTGAGGGGATCTTCAGTGTTCGCCACACCCAAGTGTTGCAATGTGGGCAAAAAAAATGCAGGAAGCTCCATGCCCCCTTAAAGTCACAGCAGTCTAATAGTGTGTCCATGAATCGAGGAATTACTGGTTAAAAGGACTTATTCATAGAATATGGAGCTGATCTTTTATTTCCATTTATCAAAAGATACGATTATTTCCCCTTTTCTGGTAGATCAGATTTGTCTCTGTGATTTAGCAGCTTCAATCTTGACACAAGTAAAACAACAAAGACAAACCAGGATGCCAATATTTGCTGAATGATGAGAGACAGACAGAAAAACAGACAGTTGTTTTTTATTGTTCCAAATCTGGGAAATTGCGGAGCAAACCTCCTTCTTAAAACAAGATTCGTTATGATTTAAAGCTGGAAAAATGTTTCATTGTGTTAACCAGTGAGCTCGAAGCTAAAAAGTGCAGCTCCAGTCAGTGGTTCCTTAAAATGGTTTAAATGTTTCCTGCGAATCCCACAGTTTAGGAGTTTCAGAGCATTGGGAGTCTTGTGACATCTGGGCGAGCTTTTGGGTCACCTCCAGCAACAGGTTGTATTCAACATGCAAACTTTGGTCAAATTACACAATAAAATAATAGGAAAAGTAAAGATGTGACACCTGGTGTGTAATATTTGTGGAAAAACACTGTCACTCGTATTTTTTATTAAGGTTTCAAAAATTGAAAAGAGGAAAGTGATTAGTGGGTTTTATTGCATCTTTCAGAAGACTTTTGCCCCGTTGCCGTCCCTGTGGTTGAGCAACTTTTACCCCAGACCTTTGCACCCATGTTGACTCCTTTACACTGATTAGGAAGAGGTTCACATCTTAACAGGACAAATTTCTCATTTATCCAACTTAAACATTTACAAATCTTGATCTTGTGGCATGCGAAAAGGGAACTGTGTGAAGCATTCAGCCACTGGATCTGCAGGGGAGTCGAAAACAAGGTGCAAAAGGGCAACATACTCGCCAACTATATTTCTGAAACATATGGCATGCTTGCAGTCATGCATGCAATAGATTCAGTGCTGACTAAAGAGCATGCTGGTTCCAACGGAGCCCACAAGATGGAGACGTTTAACATGTATTTGGTGAAAATGGTTCCTTGCTTTTCACCATCTACTGCTCCTTTCACAAAGATGGTCAGCACAAAGTACTTTTTCAAAGAAATACCAAGATATCTAATGCACAAAAACTACAAAGCTACCACATTTTGGACCCTGCGGTTCATGTTGTGTACAGTGTTCTCTATAGGGAGGTCATAAGCCTATTTACTGAATAAAGATCAGATGTATGAAATTAAATATTCTGCATTTCACTAAGTTCACTATGGAAATATTAAGCTGAATATTAATTCAACAGGTAACATTTATTTTATTTATTTTATGTAACTAAAATAAGACATGCTAACTAAATAGTTCAAAGATGTAGGGAAAAAGATGTTTAAAAAAAGCCAAATCGTATCCACTTTTGACAAGCCGAGCAAAGTGGAAATGTCTCAGATACTGCCTTATTTTTAGGTCAGCAATCAAGCTGAGGAAGATTAGTGACCATGATCAGGTTACATCTGTACAAAAGGTCAGATCCCCCTGAGCTGCATCCTTCCAATGAGGCAACAGTCAGATGGTATTCAGGTGGAATTGATCTAAATACCAGGGCTTGTTGTAACAAATGAATCCACATTTGGCTTTAAAGAAACAGTAAAGAATAGAGAAAATGCTCCTGACATTTTTTAGAAAAAATACTGCATCTTGTTGAAAAAATAATATTGTCAAATTGATACTAACCCTAACATTGTGTTTACTTTGCAAGTTGCTTTGAATAAATGCATCTGCTAAATCCATAAACATAAACAAATAAAGAAGTAAAGAAAACTAAACCACTCGGTTTGAGTATGTAAGATTAAAGGAAGGAATTTTTTATGTGGTTACTTATTCAAGAGTGTTTTTTTAACCATAAATAACCATTTCTGATTTTTTTTAAAAACACTGATCATCATTGCCAAAAGGATGCATTTTGGATTTGCTTTGGTTTGGCTTTGTAGCGTCCTTTGTTGAATAACTAAGTAAATTCTTCATTTATTTCCACAGTTTATTCCACAGATAATTAAAAGCTGTACTTTCAGGATCTCTTCACATCAAATATAACAGTAACATTGTGTGGGAGGATGAAGACACTGCAAATACAGAGAAGTGGCGTGCTGCGTTAAGCTTTCAGTCACGCGGGTACATTTACACTTCAGCTGATGACGTCAGGAGGACGCAGAGGAAGCAGGGTTTGCTGCTGGCACAGGGCCAGACATGCAACAGAGGGCAGCATTCGCTTGGTTGTCAGAGAGCTACTGCAGGCCAAGACGCTGTACTGTAATCTGCTCCTAAAACACACTTCTACTCCATGAAAACAACAGTTTGTGTATCTGCAACACCATACAAAGGCTTTATGTTTAAAATAGACTGAAGGCTGATCATGTTGATGCAGCAGCCACCTATTGTCCATGTGTTTATAGGCTGTTTTAAAGGGAAATTAAAAGATTCAACGTTTTTGCAAAGTGTTCATTTAAAAATATGAGAAAATGATCAGAGATAGCATTCCAAAAGAAAACGTGGGGGAAAATCCTGGCCTGCTGGAGGCAGTGATAACCCCCTCACCTGGTCAGGTCTGCAACACGGCAGACTCATGTCATTTACCCTTGAGCCCCAGTGCATTGTGGGTTGACTCGCTACTGTATGTCAGAGGTGAACTACGGCTGGCTGATAATTCATGAGTTAATCCCCCCAGGAGGTGAGTAAGTTGAACAAACAGATTTACTCCGGAAAGAGCACTGACATACACATTAGCTGTGCCTCTATCTATCCCCTCTAATATTGTGCTTTGAACCCTGACTAAAGGGCCATGCCACCACTTTTACGCCTCAGGAATTATAAAGAGAATCTTTTTTTGATTGTTAGAGGAACTTTGAAGGATGCTTTTCCTGATTATTGGGTAGTGGGGACTACTTAACCCAACACAAAACACAACAGCAGTCAGCATGTTTGATTTGGCCCTCTTGTTCTATTTTTCAGTTGACCCTTTGACTTTTTTCCATAGCCACATTATGTAAGCGTCTAAAAAACAAACCTACAGGCAAACTGTGCAAATCTGTGAGTCAAATTTCTCTCAAAAGGGTTCTTCTGTAGTATTTTTAAAGATTCAGGTGTGATCCGGCCTTTATGGCCAGGAAGTAATATTCTACAAGGGATGAGCCGCCCTGAAAGAACCCCCCCCCTATTTGAAGGGCAAGGACAAACAAAATCACTCCTGGAGACCGCATGAAAACAAACCTGTGTGATATACCAAGCCGTGCGACTTACACACTATAAATACATTTTCCCTCAAGGTCTTGCTTCCGAGCCAGGTGTAGGAGCATGTCACATCACACATTACAGCCCGTCATTTGTGGTTACATCACACGTGCGGCGATCCGTGCTCACATAATGTACTCAGAGCCTCTGGAATGTCGACTCTTTATTCATTCAGATGCACTGATGCACATTACCAACGCTTAAATGAACATTTTCCCATCAGAGCGCTTTGGATTCATGTGTTTTGGTCCAGTTAATCCTATTGAGAGGGCCGCGTCCATCAGCATAGCAACAGCACCTGCATGACTCATTTGTTAATGCCATGAAGGGATGAGGTGGAGGACTCGGCCCTAATCTGACTTCATCCGCAGCTCCTTTGCTAGCAATGACTCTGTGAGAGTTTTTAGCCTGAAATATCAGGGAAGCCCTCTATGCGGGGTTTAGCGTTTAGCCAAAGCTAGCACCAGGCTGAAATGAACAGAAGACTGACTCAATGAAATTGAATAAGTGTCCTGGGTGAGTGGGGGTTGCTGCTTGACAGGGTGCAGATGCACCCAGCAAGCCTGGTATAATTATAGCCTCCCGCTGACCATGATATGGACACGTGACATGAGTCCCAGTGAAGTCAGACCAGGCACTGACACTCCAGAAAGAAGTTCCCAACTGCAATCCCACCAAACCAAACAATAATCTGTCATATTATTAATTTAATCTGATTAAAAAACTGCGAAATACTCTTTTTGCATCAAAAGCTGTCAACTTTCATGACTTCAAACATCTTTGGGATAAAATTGATCATTTTATATCTTCAACGCACACATTTGGAGAAAACAAAAATACTCATGCTAGCTTGGTCTGCACCTACAGGATGGCTCTTTTCAGACAGGTGCTGAATGGCCTGTGACATCTTTAAATATAGTCTGCCATAAAGGTGATATTTATAGAGCTCTGGTACATCATTGTATTTAGTTGCCAAGTGCAAAAGAAAATTTTCCAATCATATTTCATTCAAACGGATTCCGTTGGAGAAAAAGGAAGGTCCTCATACTTTTTGGCAGAGGCATCGAAACTAAACATTTTCTCCATTCTTAATCCACTCGCAGTGATTTGCTCTCACCTAATGCTTGAGCACTGTGATGGACGCAGCTGCAGCTTGACACCGTGCTATTCTGACACAGGGCAGTGCAGTTGGCACGGATTCCTTTCAAAGAGTCACGCTGCTTGAAGAAAGTGTCCTGCAAGGCTATGAACTATGAACTGTTAACGCCCTCCTCATTGGGAAGACAGAATGCTATGAGTAATGATACCGAGCATGTGACCGATTCACTCCACCATTTTATAAATATTTTACTCAAAACCATCATAAAGGTCTCACATATGCCATTATATCCTACAAACTAAGTGTGTGGGCGACTATTTCTGTGGCACGACGGGTGTTCCAGCATCTTGTGAAGCTGAAAGAACTCCATTACAGCCATTAGCTGAAGGAGCGTGATTCATATCAACACCTTGTTGCATAACTGTTCCAGACCTGGGTTATTCAGTTGCTGTCAGGGAAATGTCAGCTGGTCTGTCTGGCGTCTAATTAGTAGGTGATTCTACTCAGCCTTGAAAAGGAAATGCAATGCACCGCATTGTGGTCGTTAATGGGAAATGGGCAGAATTGTTGCATAAAGCG